CCGCCGCCCTCCGCCGCCTCTGACGGCGAGCGCTAGGGCGCGTCGCGCGGCGCCCTGCGCGCCGCGGCCCTCCCACCCAAACACCAGCCAGGCTCACGCCGGCCCAACCCCTGCAGCCCCAAAACCACCGCCTGCCCCCCTTGCACCGACCGTCCCCCTTCACCGACCACACCCCTTCACCGACCGCCCCCCTTCCGTCGCTCGTCCAACCCCCGCCAGGTGTCTTTCCGGGCAAAGGTCGGCCGCCGCCATCGCCTCGACACCAAAGCCCACTACCCGGAAGACATGGGCGTCTCCGCGCGCTACGCCGGCGAGGGCCGCATCGCCGATTCGAATTATTCAAACGCCAAGTGGGTGGAGGGAGAGCTGCTGGTCTTCTCCTCGGCCAGCAACGAGATGATCACGGGCGGCGCGCGCGTCGGGTTTGTGTGGTCGGTGCCGAACGATCGCCGGTTCCTGATCCTGCTGAACCGCATCCAGCTGGAGTGATACGAGGGTTTTGCAACATGGGTCCTGCAACCTAGGTTTTGGAGCATGGGTTTTGCAACATGGGTTTTGCTGCACAGCTCTAGAGATTCTGCGTCAGGCTCGGGACGTGCTTAGAGGGGCGAGGGTTTCTTGTGGGCGGGACATGGCATCTGTACTGTATACAGAAGCCAACGCGGGGCCGCATGGGCTTGCACCACGCGTCCCAGCGAGGGCGGCGCGGTGCGGCGCGGTGCAGCGCGGCGCGGCGCGGCGCGGCGCGGCGCGGCGCGGCGCGGCACTCGCGAGGCACTATGCTTGCTGTTTCCTCGGTCTGTCGTCGCTGGTGGCATTATGGGTGTCACGGTGCCACCCTGGGTGTCATCCCGGGATTGCTAACCTCCACGCCAGGCTCGCCACCAGGGTGCTCGCAAGCGTTTGGCTCCTGAAACTGCGGCTGTGCCGTGAGTGCCGGCCCCAGAATCTTGGCAGCACTTGCCTGCTCAGCGAGGGCATCGCAACCCCGCGGCCTGATTTTTCGATGCTCCAGCAGCGGCGCGAAACCCTGAGCCCCGGCCCCAGGCGCCCCCGCGCCGCGCACTGGGGCTACACCGGGCCCGGGCCCACCTGCTAGCCGCGCGCCCCCCTTTCGCGCCTGGCGCGCAGCGCACAACGCCAGCAGCGGGGGCAAGGGGCGCCTGTTATGCGCGCCCGCCCCTGCTGCACGGCCCCCGCACCCGCCGGCGGCGCCCGCCTGTTGGGCGGCAGCCGCCGCGCGGTCGCGTTTCGGGGTGCGCTTTTTAGTTGCCGCTTTCTGGGGCTTCTCCGGATGCCTTTTTTCCTGCCGCGCGCCCGTCTTTCAAACCCAGCTGTTTTCGAAGAGAAACGAATCGAAAAACGAGGAAGCTGCCTGCGAGGCGCCTGCGCACGCGGCGCACGGGCAGGCGCGTCGGGCTCCCGGCACGCGCGCCAACGAACCCCCTCGCAGCGCCGCGAGCAGCCTGTCAGATTCGCCTTAAGTTTTGCATCCCGGCCTCAGCTGATCTGGCCTGGTCCGATTTTGCCTGTTTGCTTCCGGGGCATGGGTCTCTCTGGCGTTGATTCTGCTGACTCATGGGGGCGAGCCCACACGTCCATGCCGCCATCATCACTACTGATCCCATGGTCCCCTCACCCCCATGACACAGCAAGGCTCGCCCCGATCGGCCTCATTTGTGCCGAGCCCCTTGAAAAGCAAAGCCCTACTGCATTGTCCAATGTTTGCGCGCGAGCCACAGCGCGGTTGAGCCAAATTCTGTACAGCCAGCTCTTGCCTTTGCTCAACCGCCGACTCTTTTTGACGCAGAGGCGGCGGCCGCCGCGCGCCACAGGCCGCATGTCGGGGCCCCGCGCCGCGCCTTGTGTAGAATGTTGGGTTTCTTGATCAGCGGGCAGCGCCGACGATTGATTGTGAAGAGGCCCCCGTTGGCAGCGCTGGGATTGCGGCGCTGCGCACCCCAATCCTGACATCCCCGTATTTGTCAACGATTCGGCCTGACTAGGCCAACCCCAGGCATGCTTTTGCTATTTTTCTTGAGTAATACGATTCCCGCCAGCGTGTTTGCGCTAATACGTCATGTTCTTGGGGTCACAGCAGCAGCAGCAGCAGCAGCAGCAGCAGCAGCAGCAGCAGCGCAGCAGCGCCTTGCGCACTTCCCCAGGTGATGAGACCCCGTCCGCGCCGTGGCGCATGTACATCGTCGTTTGGGTGTGGCAGGGCCATGAGCGTCAGCAGGGTGTTCAAAGGGCCGCGCGGCTTCTGCACTCCCCAAGACAAACAAGATCTAGAGGAAGGGTTCCGCAAAACGGGTCGTGTGTTACAAACGGCGCCTGGGTATTGGGGTGATCAGCACAGACTGTTTGAGCAACTGCTTTTGCAGCCTTACATCAGAAGCGCCCCCAATGCCCAAGGGGGGCGCACCAGTTAAGCGGGCTCTTTTTGCTGCCAAACCCCCACAACGTGCACTCTTGAGACTGCAGGAGGGCTGCGCAAAACGCAGTGGAGGGGGTCTGCATGCCTGGCAGAGCTGCGGAATGCAGCACAGCGCGCGCGTGTGCATGCAACTTGCGACACTCTAGCCAGCGGGCCGGCGCCGTCTCAGGGTGGCGGGCCTGTGGTTGTGGCGGCCGGGGCGCGCCCAGGCGGCCGGCGATGATTAGTAAAGGCGGAGTGGGAAAGAAGGAGAGATGTCAGGCGTGCAAACGTAAGCCGAAAACCGAACAGAAGCCTGTCTCAAGGAATTGCAGTGGGTACCAAAGTTTGCTGCTGGTGCGTGCACACATGAGGCTTCTCATCAGTGACTGGCTTGAGCTCATCAATGCATTTGCTTGCCCGTCAGTGGGCTGCTGACAGGGCCGGTGCGTTTACGCAGCAGACGCCTGCCTCTGGCGCGCGCGTGCGTGCGTGCGTGCAAGGATCTGTGTAGATGTGTGTGGGCACGCGCGTGCGTGTGGGGAAAGGGTACACTGAGAAATGCTGCTGAGGACGCCTTGAACGCACCCCGTTTTCAAGGGGCACGGCTGCGGGCAACGTTTCAACTCGTCCTGTGTGGGTCTATCCTCCTAATATTGAGAGTGTGTGTGTGTGATGGGCCTGTGTGGAGCGTGGGAAACCTGTGTGAAGCTAATGTTTGTGGTGTGCAGAAGCTTCGATGAAGCTGTGGCTTCGGACAGCGCTGGCACGAGGATGCCAAACCTTGGACGTCGTCGAGTCCTGCGCCCTTGCCGCCATCTGGGCGCGGG